TCCTTCTTCTCTTGCAGGATATCGGGGACACCCTGAGCAGGTACAGTCCCCTCCCCAGACCCCTCCTACTTGTGCATTGCAGGAGGACCCCAGAACCTCAGGTGCAGATCTGGCCAGTCAGCACTTGGCCATCCGTGAACAGGCTCCACTCTGCAGGGACTGAGCTGGGAGCGGGTGGAGTCAGGGCTGTGAGGATGGACCTGCGCGAAGGGGGGCCTGTAGCTGCACTGCAGAACCCTCATCTTTCACTGCCTCCTTTCTGTAACGGGAGTTGAGGCCCAAGGCGTGGCTGGCCTGGAGGTACAATTGCTGACAAGCCCCTGGTTCTGGTTCGTAAGGTCCTTATTCCCCATGGATCAGCAGGAGAAGAGTGAGGCCCGTGCATTGGCTGGGGAGGGCGTGGTGAGAACTTGTCAGGAGCCCCGACCCCTGGTTCCATCTCTTACCTGCTTCCTCAATAAGTAAAAACATTTTAAAAAAGAAAAATGAGGGGCTAGCAGGGGACCTGGTGGTTAAGGCACTGCACTCCCATGTGGCTGACTGCCATTCAAGTCCTGGACCAGGCAGCTTTAACTCACGCCAGGCGTGTGTGCAAAATCCAAAGAGGAGAATGGAGAAGGGATTGTGGCATGGCCACCCCCCAAGGGGTGATTTCTAGCTTTCTGTCTCTGTCTCTGGAGAGCATGTGCCCCCTACAGCAAAAGTCTCAAAAAAGGGGGATGGGGAGAGTGCCTTGAGAGTTGGTTCATAACTAAAGAGGGAAGGCCTGCAAGGTGCGAGGGCTGCTGCAGGTGGGTGTGCTGGAGAGTGGTCGTCCGGGACAGGCCTCGGGAAGACCCATTGGGTGAGGGTACCTACAGGGGCCAGCTTTGAGGGGGACGGGCATCCTGGTTTAGCAATACCCTGACTAGTGAGATTCTCTGAAGGAAAAGGCACCTTGGCTGTGGATAGGCGGCTGTGGAGAGCCGTGTGCACAGGAGAGGGGGCTTGGGGCTGTGTGAGGCCCAGCTGATGGCCCAGCCTGTGCCATCTGTTGGCCACTTTCTTTTTTAAATTACTTCTTATTTGCCAGCAGACATGTACACTTACCAGAGAGAAAGTGAGAGCACTCTCCGGGGGGGCAGTCCTACTGCCGTGCCTCTCCTCCCTCTTGCCTCTTTTCTGGGGTTTTGGGCACACACACACATGCACCTGGCAGAGCCTCAAGCTGCCGGGCCCAGGCCGTGACCCGCCGCCCGGGGCTGACCTTCTGCAGATGCCATGGGAGCCAGACCGCCCTGTAGAGGTGGCACCTCAGCCCTGGCAGTTCCCAACAGCAAGGCCTGGGCTTGGCTCTGGGAGAGGAAACTACAGTTTGGTTGGCTGAAGGATGGAACGCAGTAGGGATGTCACTGTATGAGAGGTGAGGTTGGTGGCCCGAGGCTGCTGTGGCAGCTCCAGGTCCTCACAGAGCCACCACAGCTGTGAGGACACCAGCCAGAGATAACCCCTCCTGCTCAAAGCAGACTCAGAGTACCACGAGACGGACAGTGGGAGCCGGGGAAGGCCATGGGTGGCACTAGCGACTTTGCTGTGGACTCCCTTGTAGACTGAGCCCCTCAGAGGGCGCCTGTCTGTCTGAAGACACTCCTTGTCCCGGAGCCCGAGGGTCCGCAACAACCCCCAAGGGCTTTGTCCTGGGTTCTCACACTGCTCTGGCAAGGCCAGCCTCAGGCTCAGTCTAATTCCACAAGCTTTGTTTTTTGTTCATTTGTAAGTTTTACCATCGGGCACATAAGCTTGCTAGAGAGGCAGAGAGCAAGTGAGAAGGAAAGAGAGCAGCTCCCGGTGGGGGCCCCATCGCAGTCCTTCTCCCTTCTGAGATCTTGGGCACTCATGCACACATACCAGCCGTGACTTTCAAGCCACCGGTCTGGAACTGGAACCCTAGCTGGCAAATGGGAGTCCAGCGCTTTAACCACTACACCCCCGATGGCCCCAAAATTCTTTTTTTTTTAAATTTGCCATAGAATGAGTGCACTCGCTGGAGAGACAGGAAGGGGAAGTGAGAAAGCACCCTCAGAGGGGTGGCCACGCTGCAATCCCTTCTCTTCCACTCTCCCTCACATGCACCTAGCATGTTTTTCAAGCTGGGTCTGAGACTCGAGGCACGTAGTGGGCTGTGTGGAAGCAACCCACCTCAATTGCCACATCTCTGGTGGCACCCCGTGAATATTCGGAGGGACTTGATACTTACAAAAGCCATGAACTTGGTGCTTAGGGGATCTGAAAATGAGTAAGATGTGCTCCTCCGTCGTCCAGAGGACCCTACCTAGGAGGGAAGGGTGGGAGACTGCCCACTGGTGGTGTTGGTTTGGCCAGGCTCTGTGCTAGTCCCCATGGGACTAGGGGAGGGGTTCACTTATTATTATTATTATTTTAAATTTAGGGCTGAAAGAATTAGGATCCCTGAGCCCTGGATCACGCCTCCAGATCTGCAAGAGAAAATCCACATTTTTGCCCAAAAATGTCTGTTCTTGACGGAGAGTCTGAAGCAGTTCACAGGTAACGTGAGGAGGCGTGGGCCCCGAGGGCAGTGGGCTCACACCTGCCAGTCTGCGATTACCTGGGAGGGGTGTTTTCCGGCCGACACTGAAATGCACACTGAATGCCCTCTTTCCTCCCTACAGAAAAGATGCAGTCGGATATGGAGAAAATCCAAGGTAATGTGTGTGTCCCACCCGGGGCTTTGTGGCCTCTCTGCACAAGAGGGGGTGCGGGAAATGGCTCAGGCAGTGTCCACGCCAGCCCTCCCATTCATGTTAGCCCTTCCCGTTAATCCCGTGTTCTAGGTTGAAGTCTTAACCATATTCAGTCAGGTCTCACTAAGGGAATAGAAAAGTGGGCAATGCAGAAATGAATTGATCTGGGTTAATTCGATCATTTTTTTAAATAATTATTTAATTTTTAAAAAATAACTATTTACTTTAATTAATTAATTTTAATTTGACCAGAGAAAGACAGACAGAAAGAGAAGGGAAGTCAGAAAACAAGCCACCAGGTCCGGAACTCGAGCCACAGTTAGCCATGTGGGAGTCCAGCACCTTAACCACTTTGCCATCTGCCAGCCCCAGTTTGTTTGTTTATTCTAATTTGATTGGAGAGGGACAGAGAGAGAGGGAGGGAGAGAGAGGGGGAGAAAGGGAGGGAGGGAAAGTGAGAAAACAAGCTGCTGCCAGGTCTGGGACTTGAACCATAGGCAACCATGTGGGAGTCCAGTGCCCTTAACCACCACACCACCCCCTGTCCCAACTTGATTATTTTTATCTAGGGGGGGATGAACAGGAAGTCTCTAGCTGTGTGTTGCTCAAGCCTGTAGGTGTGACTCCATGCACTGGGTGCCCGCCGCTGTGGGAGTGGTGCCAGTGGAACAGGAGGCTTGGTGTCCCTGCAGCCCTGCAGAGAGTGGGGGACGGGTGTCAGCCAGGTGTCCTGCGTGAAGGGCAGGGTTGGGCTGACCACGGGGTGTGGCTTTCTGCTGACCAACCACATGCCCCTGGCTACACATTTCCTGCAAATACTCACATGACCTCCATAACTGCTTTTCTCTTGATCTTTCAGAACTGAGGGAGGCTCAGTTATACTCAGGTAAGTGACAGGGTACAGAACCCTGTTGGAGAAAGGGTGGACGTTCTCGGGACCCTAACTGCTGTGGTGAGCGACTTTGGAGTCACTCAGATTTGGACCCTGTAGGTTGTGGGTCTGAAAATGATAACCACAAAAATACTCTGGTTGTTTCTGTGTGTTTATGGTTTCTTTTTTTGGAGGGGGGTTGCCATAGGACATATATGCATGCTGGCTGGAGAGACAGACAGACAGAGACAGAAGGAAAGTGAGAATTCTCGCCCGGTGTCCTCTCCACCAGTGTCCTCGCAAGATGGGGCACACAGACGTGCCTGGTGTGATTTTCAAGCTGCAGGGTCTGGGACTTGAACGGTACAGTCGGCTGTGGGATCCTGTGCCTTAACGTCCCGCCACCTGCCGGCCCCACACCACTGCTTTCAAAGCAGGAAAACACTGCATGGCTGCGTTTCCATCAAGATAAATGCTGAGGAGATGACACAGGTACTCCAGCTGTAGATTTAAGAACAGGAAAGAGTAATGGCTTAGGCTGGTTAAGAAAAGCTTTAAGGAAGAGTCGACTTGCACAGGACGTTAGAAGATGAGTATGGTTCATGCACCAGCAGATGGCTGGACTTCCGTGTAGTCAACCCAGTTTGAGTCCTGACCAGGTGGCCTAACACTCACGCTGGGAGACCAGCAGATGGCATAATGGTTATGTTGCTGGATTCCTACATAGTTGACCATGGTTCCAGCCCCAGACCTGGTGGGTTAAACTCATACCAGGCTTATATGCATGTGTGCCAAAAATCTCACAAGAATGGAGGAGAAGGGATTGTGGCATGGCCACCCTCCAGGGAGTGATTTCTCATTTTCTGTCTCTCTGGAGAGTACATGGACCCTATAGCAAAAACTCTCTTAAAAAAAACAACTCGTGGCGGGCACATGTGCATGAGTGTTTGCCCAAGATCCCAAGAGGAAAATGAAGGAGAAGGGATTGCAGTGTGGCCATCCCCCCGGGGCGTGATTGCTAACTTTTTGTTTCTCAGTCGTTATCTCTGGTGAGTGCATGCGCCCTATAGCAAAAATGTCTATAAATAAATAAAGAATTAAAAAAGAGAGCGAGATGAGTAGGATCTGGACATGGAAAGTGAAGGTCTCAGAACCGGTAATTTGAGAGGTGGGCAGATTGCTAAAGTGCCCAGGTCCTTTCCCACAATTCAGAGTCCCAAATCTCTGAGAGAGGAAAGCATTTTCATCATTTCACAGTCAGTTAAGCTTCATAGCACAGCCCGCGAGCTTCTGACGGTCTGGGGACCTGGCTTCAGAGTGCCAGGCCAGCCGCTGCCTGTCTGAAATCCGAAATGCTCCGACGGTTTCAGATAAAGGGGTTGGAGGACAAGTTAGAAAACCTTGACTTCATTTCACAGTGGATATTGTGGCCTACAATGTGAGAAGGGACCGGGATAAAATTCCTGCTTCTGATATGTCCTAATACATCCTGCCTAGAAAGGGACCCGGCTCATCAGGCTAGCGGTCTGAAATGTGGCCTTGAGAGCGTGGTCCGTGTCCAGTGCGCCCTCTGGTGGGGGGCTGTGCAGGGCGACGGGAGGCAGCCTGGTGCCCGGGGGGCTGCTGGCCCTGGGCTGACCACCCCCTGTCTCTGCAGTGGACGTGACTCTGGACCCGGACACGGCCTACCCCAGCCTGGTCCTCTCTGACAACCTGCGACAGGTGCGCTACAGCTTCCTGCAGCAGGACCTGCCCGACAACCCCGAGCGCTTCAACCTGTTCCCCTGCGTGCTGGGCTCTCCGTGCTTCGTGGCCGGCAGGCACTACTGGGAGGTGGAGGTGGGCGACAAGGCCAAGTGGACCATCGGCGTGTGTGAGGACTCGGTGTGCAGGAAGGGCGGGGTGACCTCGGCCCCCCAGAACGGATTCTGGGCAGTGTCGCTGTGGTACGGAAAGGAGTACTGGGCGCTCACGTCCCCGATGACGGCCCTGCCCCTGCGCACCCCTCTCCAGCGGGTGGGGATCTTCCTGGACTACGACGCCGGCGAGGTCTCCTTCTACAATGTGACGGAGCGGTGTCACACTTTCACCTTCTCTCATGCCACCTTCTGTGGGCCGGTGCGGCCCTACTTCAGCCTGAGCTACTCGGGTGGGAAGAGCGCAGCCCCCCTCGTCATCTGCCCCATGAGTGGCATCGATGGGTTTTCTGGCCAGGTGGGCAATCAAGGTCATTCTATGGAGACCTCCCCTTGAAGGCCGGGGCCCAGGGCTGTTGGCCACCTTGTCTGTCACAAGTGGACGTCCTTCCTGCTCCCTGCCCAGCAGTGGGAGACGGTGTCCCGCTCAATGCACATCCAGCTGTCACACGCGCTCCGAGCTGGTGCCTCTCCCTTCGCCAAGGCGTCAGGTGTCTTGGAGCATAGCCGTGTCCCCGCAGGTGCCCACTCCTTGGCTTGGCCGTCTCTGGAGATGAAGACTGGTACTCTGGTCTGGGGAGCTTGGCTCAGCCCAGCCAGCCCCGGCCAGACCTCTTGTGAACATGGGTGTCCTTTCCCACCAGGATCCTTGCCCAGGACCGGAGGGGGAGGTCGGTTCCTGCCAGGTGGCCCCAGTGCCAGCGCCGCCCTCCTGGAATAGCCTGTGTTCTGATCCTGTCTGCCACATTTTCCTAACTGGCGAAGAGGCTGCGTGTCTGGTCAGTTGCGTTATTACAGTAACGGCACCGGCCCACCTGACACGAGCCCGTGTTCTAGTCGGCCTCGGGCCTCTTTCCGAGGACAGGCAGTTGTGCTGGTTTTCTGCCCTGTCGGTTTCTGCAGGCAGGAGTCATGCCGCCGGGGAGGGTGCAGGGCAACATTCCAAGGGCTGACGACTTCTGCCTGCTTTCCTGTGTCCTTGAGATGGGGACCTCGCCTGTATTGTGTGGCAGTCTGGGCCACACACGCTGAGGTCAAGGCCCCGTGATGGTCCGCTCTAGCTTCTTTTTGGGTACGTACCCTTCTGTTAAAAATAAAGTGGCTACGGACGTTCATGTTGCTCGTCTCCAGCTCCTGGGGGTTCAGGGGGTGAAGGGGTGAGGGTGGTGGCTAATGGTGTGGGTTTCCTGCGGGGTCTGAATTCCGCCGCTCCAGTCCGCACTGCCCACTGGACGGTGAGTGTGTTGCTGTGTCCTAGTAGGGCTGACAGTGGTGCTGGGTGCCCTGGCCTCCTAGGGCTTTAGTTCATGCTCCCATGAGAGAGTTGTCACTGGCAGTGTGCAGCAGGACAGTGCCTGGCATAGTCGGGTGGCCGGTAACTTGCTTCCCAATCCAGACTGCTCACCTGAGCCCAAGCACAGGGTTAACTTTGCGCTATGGAGGAAAGACCGGGCTGACAATAATGGTGCTCCTGGGGCTTGGATCTGCCCACTCAGAGTGGCCTCAGGAGACAAGAGCCCATAGACTGTACCTCACCTGTGCCCGGTTCTGGAATCCCTGAAGATGGTGCGGTGGTGATTCATCAGTTGTTTTTTTTTTTTTTGGAGAGGATTTTGCTATAGGGCGCGTGTACTCACCAGACAGACAGAGACATAGAGACAGAAGGCGAGAAATCACCCCCCAGGGGGGATGGTCACGCCACAATCCCTTCTCCATTCTCCTCTCGGGATCTTGGGCACACACGCACACGCGCCTGGCATGAGTTTTAAGCCACCGGGTGCGGGACGCGAACCACAGTCGACTACGTGGGAGTCCAGTGACATAGCCATTATTCTAACTGCTGGTTCCCGCACCTGGTGTGTTTTTCAAGTTGCTGCTCCTGGGAGTTGAACTGTGCATTTGGGCATGTGGAATCCAGCAGCCTTGACTTCCATACCACTGACTGGTCCACTTTTTAAAAAAATCTGCCTTTTTGTTTTGTTTTGGCTATAGGATACATGCATTCCGGGGAGAGAGAGATATCACCCCTAGAGGACGGCCATGCTACAGTCTCTCTTTCTCCACTCTCCTCTCAGGATTTTGATCATGTCCATGTACACCTGGAGTGATTCTCAAGCTGCCGGGTCCAGGACTCAAACCAATCAGCGGGCCACGTGGGGTCCAGTGCATTAACCTCCACATTACCTGCTGGCCCTAGTCCTGTCCTATGCCTGGGTGGGGTTCAGAGACCTTGTAAATTACTGAGTGTACTCATCTGCAGGGATGCAGCCCTTGAGCTCAGCAAGTCAGGGTTGGGTTACAACAAACCAGGCTGTAAGGGGAATGGTCCTTCTGGCCCGGCCAACTTCCTCCCCTGAGACTATTTGACGTGGTTCATTATACATCAGCTTCAACAGCTCCTCCCTCTTTAACTCTTCTGCCCCAGAAAAACGCTGGGCGTGTATGCTTGTGCACACGTGTGTCTGTGACTGCTTCTGCCTTCCCTGACATGGCTGAGCTCACAGAGAACATATCCCCAGGAGCAGGGAGCAGACAGGCCCAGAAGAGACCGGCTCCAAGGATAAAGGGGTTCAGGTCCAGCAGATGGCATAACGATTATCCCCCTGGATTCACTCATGGCTGACTCAGTATGAGTCCCAGATCTGGTGGCTGAAAACTCACACCGGGCAAATGTGTGTGCATGCTCAAAATCCTGAGAGGAGAATGGAGGAAGAGAGATTGCACTGGCCATCCCCCTGGTGGTGACTTCTCGCTTCCTGTCTCCGTCTTCCGGTTCTCCAGTGAGCACATGTACCCTATAGCAAAAATCTCTAAAAAGAAAGAAAAGAAATAATCCAGTGTTCCACATTGGACTGGTACTGGCTATCCATAGTCACATAGATGTATGCCAAAGGGCCAGCAGGTGGTTGGGGAGCTAGACTCCCACATGACGACTGTGGTTTGAGTCCCAGACCTGGCCCCTTGCTTTCTCACTTTTTCTCTCTCTGGTCAAATTAAATAATAATGATAAAAGTTAAATGAATAATTCATAAAAATAAAAGATGTATGCAAAAGAATAATTACTGGGAAACATCTTAATTTAAAACACAAGTTAACAAATACCACTAGAACATTTGGAAAAGTACCAGAGTAAATACATCGAAATGTGAATAGTACTGGGACCAGCAGTTAGTGTAATGGCTATATCGCTGGCCTCCATGATGTAGTCAGCTAGGGATCAAGTCCTGGACCCGATGGTTTAAACTCACGCTAGGTGCGTGTGTGTACGGGCCCAGGATCCTGGGAGAACGGAGAAAGGGTTGTGGCGTGGCCCTCCCCCCTGGGGAGTGATTTCTCGCTTTCTGTCGCTCTGACTCTCTTCCTGGCGAGCACACACGCCCTATAGCAAAAACCCCTTCAAAAAAAGAAAAGAAAATATGAATAGTAGTTACCTCAGACTAGTGAGATTATGAGTAATTTGAATCTTTGACTTATATATATCCTTTTACAATTGTGTGTATTTTCCAATGGGGAAAAAATATTAATTATAAATGAGGTTACTGGTGGCATGAATCACTTCCTGAAACCTTCCAACAAAAAGAAAAGACAGCATGTCTGGTCCCCTGGAAGTCAGTGTTCAGTGTGTCTCTTACCCATTTTCTCCTATCAAAAAGGGTATGAAACCAAGGGCCCTTGGGAACTTATAAACGGGGCTTCTGAAACGCAAATAATTCCTCTCTTCGTGCAGAGAACAGCCCCAAATTTTGTCTTACAGAAAGGAGGAAAACTTTGTGTAATACAAAAAAGTGAGACAAAATCTAATTAACATTTCAAAATCTGTATTTTTACTCTGCACTTCAGAGCCCAAAATACAGCAGTGAGACAGCTGAGCTGACACCTGCGGCGCCCGGTCCTGGGGGACATGTGGCCCGTGAAGGCAGGCCCTGCCCTCCCTGTCCGTCGCTGACTCCTGGCCTGGCAGGGCCTCCTGGGAGCTGTCCGCAGCCCCGCGCCCCGCGCAGCCCCTTCCCGCGGGCCCCTTTCCCTGACGCGGCCTCCTTCCCCGGTCCGGGGCCTCGCGCCCTGCACCGACCTCCTCGGGCCCGGCCGCAGCCTCCGGAGCCATGGAAAGCTCCAGCGAGCGGCGTTCTGCGACAGAAGGGGCCGGCCGGGTAAAGACGGAGCGTGCGGTAGAACCGGGCCTTCTTTGGGCCGCCCCTGCTCCTGCCAGCCCCGGCCCAGCGGCCCCGGGCTCCCCGCGCCCGGCTCGCTCTGCGGCACCAGAGCGTCTCGAAGCGCAGGGTCTGCCGCGAGGCCCAGACACGCCCGCGCCTTCCCTCCCCTTCCGCCCGCGCTAGCTCGGGACTCGCACCGTTACCAGGCAACCGCGACGTCACCCGAGCACGGTTCGCTACTCTATTTCAGGGGAAACTTGCAGGCGTCCCACGGGGTGTCAGGATGGCCGAGTGGTCTAAGGCGCCAGACTCAAGCTTCGCTTCCCCGCGCTGGGGGTTCTGGTCTCCGCATGGAGGCGTGGGTTCGAATCCCACTTCTGACACATCGTTTTTGATTTTTTTCCCCCCTACCTTTGAAATAAATACGTTTATCTGAACATAATAAGAATAACCAAACTTGATTTTTAAAAATGAACTTTAAATTTTATCGCAGGAACTACTGACTGAAAAACTTGAATTCGAAAGCACCGCGATATTCCTAATAAGCCACGGGATTTGAGGCTAAGCAGCTGGGCCAGACTACAGATCGACTTCAGGGTCTGCCGCGCGGGGCCGCGGTGTGGGCCGCCCTCCTCGCCCACCGCCGCGGGCCAAGAGCCCTTGCGCCGGGTCAGGGTCCCTGCCTGCGGTCGAGCAGCAGCTCGGGCGTGGACTCCGCATGTCGCCCTTACCAGCAGCTGCTTGGATCGAGGCAGCTGCACTCCTGTAAGTGCCTCGGGCCACCCTTGCTCTGTGTTTCCACGGTCTACTGCTGATATTTCCATACTCCCTTTTTTACTTTTGCGGATACGTATTCCTAAATACCTTTTTTACTTTGTTTTACAAAAGTCAGGCATAGGAGAAAGCGAGAGAGCGTTCTCTACAGATTTTTAACAATGTATCTTGGGCTCTTTCTGTGTGGAATGCTCGTTCTTTTCCCTCACAGAGAGTATTTTGTAAAGCAGCCCACAGAATGGATACTCTGTATCCTACTTTAACCGCTGCTCCCGCCTTCCTTTTTTTCTTTTCTTTTTTTTTTAAACTAAGCATTTAGCGTATTTACAATTATAGTTTAATGAGAGTTGTTATGTGCCAGGGGACACAGCTCTAGGGCGATATAAAATTCAAGTTAAAGGGCGAGTAGGTGACGTGTGGTTGAAAGTGGTGACACCCACATGGCCGACTGTAGTTGGAGTCCCGGATCCAAGCTGGCGGGTGGAGACTTGGAGTCCGGGACTCCACAGCTGACCATGTAGGAGTCCAGCTACAGCATCTGCTGACCCCCTGTTTATATTTCAGAAGGTTCATTTTCATTTTTAAAAATGGTTGCAGAAATTCACAAAGCTGAGTTTCAGAGGACCTTGGCTCTTGTTCCTGACTGACAGGTTCTCTGAATTCCTGGGCAGCTCCTCTGCATTCCTTCACCCTTTCCTGGAAAGACTTCTTAGTGCCCGGTGAGTCAGAGGAAGAGGAACGATAAACCCAAGGAAGTCTTACCTTCTTTGACGCACACTTCTCTTTGGGGCATTCATGCTCTGCTGTGCTCCGTGGGCTCCCTCAGCCCTGCAAGTCCGTGTGTCTGAGGGCTTTCCTGGGATGCCACGCTCTGGCCTATGTGAGTGTCTTCGGTCCCTGGCCTAGCAATGGACTGCAGAGAAAGCCTATTGTAGCTTTAGACGCAAGCCATGTTCTTAAATTCACATCTAAAAGCCGCAAAGCTGATATTTGGTATCTGCCACTGAGGTCAATATCTCAATTTGTTTCCCAAAATAATGGATACTTTTTATAAAGAAAAGGTAAAATAAATACAAATACATGTATAACTCTTAAATAAGAATCAGTATGCATAAAAAAAAAAGAATATTTAGGGAGCAACAGATGGCATAATGGTTATGCTGCTGGACTCCCTCATAGTTGATTACAGTTCGAATCCCAGACCCAATGGTGTGAAACCCTCCAGGTGCGTGTGCATCTGTGCCCAAAGTCCCTAGAGGAAAATGGAGAAGAAGGGATTGTGGCATGGCCATCCCCCTTGGGGGCGTAAGTTCTCACTTTCTGTCTCTTTCTGTCTCTCTGGCAAGCACATGTGCCCTATAGCAAAAATATCTCTTAAAAAATAATATGTAACTCATGAATTTATGTAGCAACAAAGTATTATAATTAATCCAAAGAATATTCACAGTACCATGTCTTTAAACATAATCTGGAAAATTGAATTTACAAATAAATTCTTAAAATACCTGTCACCAGGGCTGTCAGGTGGCATGGTGATTAAAGTGCTGTATTCCCACATGGCTGACCAAGTTCCAGACCTGGCAGCTTGCTTTCTCACTTTCCCCTTCTCTAGCACACACTCTCTCTCTGTGTCTCTTTGGTCAAATTAAAAAAATAATAATAATAACAAATAAAATTAAATAAATAATTGAATAAACACCATTTATCTGTATTTCTTTTTGTTGTTTTTGTTTTAGGGATATAGGGAATGTACACTCAATGGAGAGAGACAGAGAGAGAGAAGGTGAGAAGGCACTCTCCAGGGAGAATGGCCACACCCCAGTCCCCTCTCTTCCACTCTTCTCTCCGAGTTTTGGGCACACACTCATATGCCCCCTGGATTTTTCTTTTCTTTTTTTTTTTTTAAGAGATTTTTTTGCTATAAGGCATGTGCACTCTCCAGAGAGACAGAGAGAAACAGAGACAGAAAGTGAGAAATTGCCCCCGGGGGCATTAAAACTCATGCAGTGTGTGTACATGTGTGCCCAAGATCCAAGAGGAGAATGGAGAAGGGATCGTGGCCACCCCCCCTGGAGGGTCACTTCTTGTGGGAGGCTGCGCACCAGCGAGTCTGCCGAGGCCATTTTCATGAGTCTCTTACTATTGCCATCTTAGGCTCAGAGAGCAAACAATTACAAAGGCCACAATTGGCTCCCCTTCAAAAACCTCACCTTCAACACCATACTCTGATTGGCCACTTCCCATAGCAAATCGGTAAGCTTAGAATCCCCCAGATTTGCATATCTGGCATCCATGATTGGTCCACAAAATCAACCAATCATAACCCACCTTTTTTACTATCCTTCATTCAGCCAATCACGGCCCAATAACATGTATATAACCGCGATCCCTGGCCCACAATCGCCAGATGACACTGAAGACCCTGAAGAGTTGTGACACTGTGTAGTGTCTGGACAACCCTGAGCTGTGACACTGCATCACCTGAAGATGACCCTGAAGAGTGGTAACACTGCTTCGTTCATCCACTCTCTCACTCCTTCCCTCAGGAAACCTGTTCAACTGTCCCCCAGGTCGGGATAAAAAGGCACCTTCCAGGAGGGCTGGCCACACTGCCACCCTTTCTCCTCCATGTTCCTCAGGATTTGGGGCACACACGCACATGTGCCCAGTGTGTTTCTCAAACCATTGGGTCGAACCCTGCAATCAGCCATGAGGGACCTGGCTAACCTAACTCCTGTACACCAGCTGGCCCACTGTGACTTCTGCTCTTCTTGAGAGGCAGCTGGTGTGTAATCCCAAGTACGGAGAGCCTTGGCGTGGCCTGCCCCCACTGCCCTCTCTGAGCTGACAGCTGCATGTGGCTCTCGCCCTTGTGCCAAGGTCACACCCACCATGACTACCCAACAGAGCTGCACCACGGGCAGTTCCGTTTGGAAGAAAAGCCTGGCTGTGTTCTGCCTTTGGGCTTCTTTCTGAGACTATCACTGCTTTGAGATGGTTGCTCTTAGGAGAGCTAGCAAAGATTTGGAGAACACCAACTTAAAATCCTGTTCGGAGCCTTAGCCTTAGAGAATCCTTGTCGGCAATCTTGTTCCCAGACCTTTAATTCACCTTTTAGTTGATACTTTTTTTTTAAATTTAAGTTTATTTATTGTTATTATTTTTAAAGTTTTTGCTATAGGCCATGTGTGCAAGTGAGAGAGAGAGAAAGTAAGAAAGCAAACGGCGAGGCTCAGGACTCAGTTGGCTATGTGGGAGCACAGTGCCTCGACCACCACACCACCCACTGACCCCTAGTTGTCATTCTTTGTAGTGACCCCTGCCCCAGCCCTCACCCTAACCACTCTTGGATGCTCAGTGGCCTGAGTTTTGAGCAGATGGCACTGGGAGAGCGCCAGTGACCTAAACACGTGCCTGGAGTATGCCCCACCCTTATAAAGAGCATCTCTTTAAGATGCTTCCTGAAGAAGCCCCAATGGTTGTTTTTATAAGCAAAGAGGAATTCGTTTGCAGCTGAGATAGGACAATTGTGCCGAGACTCTTGGCATCCATGTGTGCCTGCTGAATTTCATGTCTCCTCCAATAGAAAGCAAACTCCCTGAGGACACACGGGTTAGTCCTGTCTCACAGAGCAGAGTGGGTGGCTCACACCAGAGTTCTCCTTTCCCTGGGAACCCTAGGAACAAGCAGGCAGATGACAGGGCACACCCAGAGTTCTCCTTTGCCCGGGAATCAGGGTACAAAATGCTGTGCATCTTTCAGACCATTTGAGGGAAAAGGGTGACAACCACAAAGGGACTTGAACCCTCAATCTTCTGATCCAGAATCAGACGCCTTGTCCACTAGGCCACACAGCCAGCTGGCATAAGAGCTTCTTTCACACAAGACATAAAAGGAACTTAGAAAGGAAGGAGGGGGCTTTTCTGATGCATATTCCAAAGATCAACCTTAGTAAAATTTTCTCATTGAAATTAAAATTTGCCAACAGTTGGGACTGGCAAGTGGCGTGGTGGTTAAGGCGCTGGACATTCCCACATGGCTGACCATGGTTCAAGTCTTGGACCTGTTGGCTTGCTTTCTCACTTTCCCTCTCTTTCTCTCTCACTCTGTCCCTCTCTGGTCAAATTAAAATAAATGAATGAATGAATAAATGAAATTGAATAAAAATAATTTTTTAAAAATTTGCCAACAGTTAAAAATAATTTACAACACCCTCTAAAATTTGTAAAAACTGGGGCCAGCAGATGGAATGGAGGTTAAGGTGGTGGATCCCACATGGCCAACTGCGTGGTTTGTGTCCCAGGCTAGGTGGCTTGAAAATCACACCATGCTTGTGTGTGCCCCAAATCTCTGTGGGACTGTGTGGGACTGTGACATGGCCGCCCTCCTGGGGTGATCCCTTGCTTTCTGTCTCTCTCAGGTGAGCTCACAGGCCCTACAGCAACAACAAAAGGCAAAAATAAGGGCTAGTTGTCTGAAACTGAGAAAGGGCGGGCAGTTAGATGGCTTATCGATGTGAACTCCTCAAGATCTTTGATTAAAGACTTTGGGAATGGGGCTGGCAGGTGGCTTGGGTGGGTGACATGCTGGACTCCCACATGGCTGACCATCCGTCCATGTCCCAGACCTGTAGGCTTGCTTTTTTACTCTCTCTTCCTCTCCGTCTTGCTCCAACCAAAATGGAAGAGGAAGAAAATAACAATTTAAAAAAGACTTTAGGAGGTGTGTAGGGAGGAAGACAGCCAGAACTGATGCTGCAAGCCCAGGGAACAAGGAAGAGACTGTGTAGGCAGATGGGCCTCTCAGCCATGGGAGTCTGGAACAGATGGTGGTGCTGAGGGTGGACGGGGACTGCCTGCATGCTTCAGAGAAGGCACGGTCTGCCTCAGCTGGGGGCAAGTAGGTCCATCCACCCACACTTTTAAAAACGGAGCGACTGGGTGCTGCCTAGGCAGGTGTTTTCACAGGGCTTGATGACTCCCATACTTGACCTGGAGACTGGGGTTCCCCTTAATTATGGGCTGGCCCATGGGCTCGAGGCTAAGGGAGCTGGAACCTACATACCAACCACTCAGTTTGGGGTTCGTGCCTTGATTGGGAGACATGGAATGGTGAAACACTCCATCTTTGGGAGTAAATTGAAAATTGGTAGCAGTTACACCTTGGTAAGAGTTTAGTCAAAATTACTAGTTCGTTGGGAAAGCCATGATGCAGTTTTTCATAGAAAAATACGTTGTGACGTTCCCAGTGACTCGATATTTTCTTGTGGTTCTATTTCTGCACCCCTTGAAATAAATCTTTAGGAGTGTAGAAACTTGGTGATTTGACTTGTGAATCTTTTTTTAAATTTTTTTGCCATATAGTGTGTACACTCATCAGAGAGGAAAGAGAGAGACAGAGAGAAAGTGAGAAATCACCCCCGGCGGATGACCATGCTTCAATTCCTTCTCCATTCTTCTCTTGGGATTTCAGGTGTGCACACAAACTACCCAGCGACACTTTCACACAGCTGGTCCAGGACTCCACCATGGATCGCCACATGGGAGTCCAGCGCCTTAACCACCATGCCACCTGCTGGCCCCAGTTCGTGTTAATAGCACGTTTTTTTCTGATCATGAATCATTCTTGTAACCCCAGGAAAATCACTGTTTAGGCCAATATGGTCTTTAGTGTTATGTGCCAATGCTTTAAAAGCAGTCTTTCCAATATACACAAAGGAGATCGGGCTTGAGCTTCCTTATTATCCAATCTTGGGAGGTTTACGAGTCACGGTTATGCGAGCTGCTGCCGCTGCTTCTTTTAACATTGATTTATTTATTTCAACATCTATTTATTTGTTGTGATTTTGGGGCTGCCAGATCTAGGACTTGAACCATGGTAACCAAGAACCTAGCTTCTTAAAATGTCTTGGAAAACTCTTAGCTTTTCTTGCACTGCACAAAGTTTAAATGGCATGAGGTGTGTACTTGTGATTCTAAAGCCTAATCTCAATTTATTTAGGTATATTTTAAAATAACAGTCAGTCGGAACCAGTAGTTGGTATAGTGGCTATGTCACTGGACTCCCATGTAGCTGACCATGGTTTGAGTCCTGGACCCGGTGGCATGTGTGCATGCATGCCAGAGAGGATAAGTGACTGTGACGTGGCCATCCCCCTGGAGGGTGATTTTTCGCTTTCTGTCTGTCTCTGTCTGTCTTTCTGGCAAGCGCATGCGCCCTATAAAAAAACCAAAAAAAAAAAAAAAAAAAAAAAAAAAAAGATCCTGAGAGGAGAATGGAGGATTAGGGATTGCGATGTGGCTGTTCTTCCTGGGGGGTGATTTCTCGCTTTCTGTCTCTGGCTTTCTGGCAGCACACGCACCCTATAGCAGAAAACCTCTCAAATAAATAAAGTAACATTTTATTTTAAAATATCACGGAACAATACATACATAAAGAAGGGAGAGAATTCTGAAATGGAAAAGCAGCGGGGGTGATGGGCCAAGCAGAGCACCAGCGCCGTCCACAAAGTGGCAGAGCACTCAGACGGTGGATGGCGAGGCCGCTGGGGTTCTGGGCAGCGCGTCCACAACTCGAGTTCATTTCAGGTCTTGATCAAGGTACTAGGACAAGGCACTCCAGAACTGCAGGCCAGATTGAGCGGCTTAAGTCCCCAAAACAAGACATTTGCACCTTGACTGTCCGGGTTGTACTGAAGGAATCGGAATTGCCAAACGGAAGAAACTCAAGCTGCAAGTACTGGGCCACGAGGATTTTTTTCTCAGCAAGAAAGTCTGACAGCCTGAGGAACCGAAAAAAGTTAGCGCTGTGAGCAGGATTCGAACCTGCGCAGGAAAGTCCCATTGGATTTCAAGTCCAACGCCTTAACCACTCGGCCATCACAGCACCGCGGACCGTCCCTGGTAATCCTAACACATCTATACCGTTGCGAACGTCTTATTTCAGGATCACGCTCTGCGATTTGCAAAAGTTATAAATCCATAGGATAAAAACAGGATCCGAAAGCCGGTGTTCCCGGGAGGAGAACGGCGGACTCGGTGAAGAGGAGCCTCGGGACAGACCTCGGAGTGCCTGCGGCCGCGCGCTTTCCCTCGGCGCTGGCGAGGTCGGAGAGCGCGTCGGCCCCGGAGCGCCGGCTGGGGCGCCCTCCCGCGGGAGCTCAGCCTGCGCGGCCGAGGCCAGCCGGGGAAGTCCGGCGCGGTGCGTCCGGAACGCAGCGACCTTCCAGTTTCCCGCGTGACTTCAAGTTCTCAGTCTCAGAAAATAGCGGTAGTCGCCGTGCATTCAAACGCGCATCCATAGCCCGAAATAAAATAGTTACGCTTTTCTTAACACGAAAGAAAGCACGTGGCAGGAGGCAAGACCGAGGCCGGGAGTCTGTGCTGGAAAAGTGGGTTTGGACCCAACTTTTGTTCTTCAGTAATTCACCCAATTCAAGGGGCATAACCATTGTGCGTCATTGACAAAAACGTTGATTTAAAAAAAAAAAATGCAGTGGCCAGGGATGAGCAGATGGCGTAATGGCTATGTCGCTGGACTCCCACATAGTCTGCCGCGGCTCGTAATCCCAGACTCGGAGGCTTAAAACACGCCGGGTCCGTGAGCGTGTGTGCCCAAGATCCCAACAGGAGACGGATTAGGGATCGTGGCATGGCCATCCCTCCTGGGCGGTGATTTCTTGCCTTCTGTCTCTCTGGCGGAGTGGACTCACCCTATAACAAAAGTTTTTTTTTTTCCCCAAAGAATTATTTTATTTTATGTTATTTATTTATTTTATTTGACTGAGAAGGGCAGAATAAGAGTGAGAGAAAAAGAGAAACTAAGCCGCCAGGCCTGGGACTGGAACCATGGTCAGCCATGTGGTAGTCCAGGCCCTTGACCACACACTTGCAGGCCCCACAAAAATCTCTCTTAAAAAAGAAAAAACAAAAAACAGTGACCAGAGCAGATCTATGATGTATGGAGTCTAAAATATATACAACATTTGGGGTCATATTTAAGGGGGAAAAAAGTATAAATACAAAATTAGATATGAAAATATGTATTTAGATTGAGAAATGTAATCAAAGCAAGTTACACATTTTCAAATCTGATTCTAATATCACAAAGACATCATTTTAAAATTTGACTCATTGGGACTAGCAGGTGACGGGGAGGTTAAGGTGGCTGGATCCCACTTGGCAGAAGGCTCCATTTGACCTCAGAACACAACAGCTGGAAGAACACACTCCGTGGGGATGGTCTTCTGTAGAGAGTTTAACTTGAGAAAACATGGTGTGGCTTTTAGATGCATGTAGAAACGTGCTTTGTGAATTTTATTAATAACTGTTATGAGAACATTTTTCTATGGAACATTGTTTGTTGTTGGTTATTTTGTTGTTAATATTTGATATTGTAGGGCAGTATGAGGCTAAAGGAAGTTATATGTGTTTATTAGATTTTATCTCAAAAAGGTTAGAAAAATTACATGGTGCCAGCTGTTTTTGTATTTTTAAACAATTTACGTTTTAAAGCAACTGGCTTTATGTTTTACTTTTTACATGGTATGACTTTTAGACACATGTAGAAGACAGGCTTCCCTGAGCTTCCTTAGCAATGGCGATGGGCTCATTTCCACAGGAAACCTACCTACCTGCTGTCAGTAGCTCCACGCTTTTGTCAATACCCGATACTGCAGGGGAGTATGAGGCTACAGGAAGCCCAGCTGTTTATCAGATTTTGCCCCAAAAAGATCAGAGAAATTACAAGCCACCAGTCATTTCACATCTTCAGGTGATTTACGTCCAAAACCAACTGGCTCTGCATTCCATTTCCTCTTCCCCCATTTTCTGCCCTTTGAAAGAATAAACCTGAGGCC